CGATGTGATGTGATGTGGTGCCATGTTCTCATTTTGTCAAATAAGAAATTAAAAGTCAGGTAAAAAAAAATCAATCATGTGGTTGCCACAAAAACAATCTTTTTGTAAATAAAATAAGTGGGCCTTGGTAAAACAACTATAACCTCTAATCAATGTTATTTATTTTCAATATGGCCCCGGATCAAACTGAGTATGAAACTCCTGGGGTCGCCCTATGTGAAATGTACATGGGCTACACTGGCGAGCGGGTACGCAGGGCAAGGCTGGGAACCTCTGCTTTAAGGGACACCACTGCCCTCAGACCACCCTACTCCCGTGGTGTGGTGAGTGGTAGTTTGCTACACAAAATGCATATGGATTAAGAAAAGGGACATGAGAGTGCAGCTCTACGAGTGCAGTTCCTACTCTACCATTTCTCCTTATTTCCTTTCTATCCTCTGCAGCACTCCAGCAGCCACCAACCAAACCGCCGTCTTCCTGCGCTTGTTTCTTTACGTTACAGTTAAATATTGTCTGGATACCTCCCGGCTAAAGCGGGAAGTCACTTTGCCGATACATAATTTGTAATCTCTCCCTCCCCACACCAACCCGCCGGATAGATTTGTCCAGGGGCCCACACGTCTGTTCTGGATTACTGCCTGCGTAACACTGCCTATCGCTTCGTCTTAACGTCACACTTGCCTGTTCTCGGGTTAGCATATTTGTTTCCTCGCGGGGGAAATAGAACTGCACAAGCAAAGAAATGATAGCCTCCTGAGAGAAAATGTTTGAAACGGCAGCTTTGAAGCCGTTAAATTCGACTCTGATCGCTCTTTAACCCGATGTTTGCGTTGATAGGGAAGTGGAAAGCTATAGCGTCTCGATGTGGCGTGCTGGAGTGGTAGCGGGAGCGTAACAAGGCTCTCCAACAAGCAGAGCAAAATGAGTTGTGACATGTTAAAACAAACATGGCCGTCTGCTTAATTAGAGGATGAAAGCGGAGAGCTCATTTGAGGAGAGTGTGAACGGGGCGAGAGAGAAAATCTGTGGTGCCGAGACGTGCTAATGTTGCCTTTAGCGGTTAGCTGTCAGCGCGCGCAAAGTTTGGGAAAGCGGTGTGAAGGGGACGTGCTAACTGCAGTGGATTAAATAAGTACACTATGAAATGAACTAGTTTACCGTACAACTTTTCTGATGGGGTCCTTCTTCTGCTTGACTATTTTAACTTGAGTTAAAAGCTGGAGTTCGTAACTTTCAAACCTCAAAAAAGATGGGGCTTTACAAAGTCCTAGCTCTAACATCAGTCTGGTGCTATCACTAGATTTCATATGCAGGCATTGTTGGCCTGTGTCACATATTCAGATGGGCCCGGACGAGCTGGAGGAAATGTGTGCAAAGAGGGAGGGGGCATTCCGGGGTGGCACGGTGGATGTCATTCTTGCTTCTCAGCTAGAAGAGGGCCTTTCTTAGTGGAGTTTGCATGTTCTCCCTGTGTCTGCATAGGTTTTCTCCGGGTGCTCAAGTTTCCCTACCTCTATAAAACGTGTATTATTGTTCAGGGTAAAGGACTGTGTTTGTGAGTGTGAATATGGGACAACGGATGCAAATTAGCCCGAAGTTAGAATCCGGAGAAGTGTGTTCATTAACATGCACTGACTCAACTAAATAAACAATACAATAAATTAATACAATTAATTCCCCACTAACAGGCAACAAAAAATGGATGTATGAATCCTGAATGGACTCATTGAAATCATCAATCCATTCAGATATGAGAAATATGCCACGCATACCGTGGGATATTGAGAGATGCTTCAAAAGATACATGCACTGTGTAGAGAACATACAGCAGGTGTGAGAAAACAAAAGCAGTCACACTCACTGCTGATTACTTTCTTACTGATTACCTCCACTTGTACGGAATCTCAACTATCTCCGGGTGAACGGCCCAAACATTGAAGCTATAGTTTAAAAAAAAAGAAAATCGAAATGACTTGTATGAAAACATAAACAAAAGAGTAACCTTTATTGGACAGTTCAGGTCATTTCTACTAACTTCTATACACTGTAAAAAGCCATAACAAAAGCTGAATACCCCTTTTGCTTTCTCCAATCCCTTTTTAAACCATCTAGACCAGAGAAAAATATGTGATTAATTGCTTAGTAACTAATTCATTAGTTAATGAATAATTATCAATAATAATTGTCTTTGTTTGAAAGCACTACTGTAGTTGCATCCTTTGCATATTTAGAAATCATGTTGCGGCTATAACAATACAGGCCTGTAATTAAATGAATGTAAGATTTCAATAGCATGACAGCGAAATATCACCATTCTACTGCCTGCTTAACATAAAACACATCAAAAACCCTTTCACTTGGAAGATACTTCCACTGCCTCCCTTTTCATCCCCCAAACATACGCATTTTATAAGTTCTATAGGGTGAAATCCCAGTGCTGCTCATCCAAACTTTTCAAACAAGCACAATAAAGCTCAAAATGAGATCTTTACAGCCTCGGCTTCGCATTTATGAGCGGCTGCGTGTTTGCTTAGCCCTATTACCTCCCGCGGATCCTGGCTGCCGAATTAGCCTGTCCTTTCAGACTGGATTTGGACGGACGCCTCTTTATTTATATTTTTATTTGGTCTAGGAGAGTCTATGTGTAGCCCCGGGTCACGCAGGCAGAATATATTGAGCGCATTATGGATATGAAGCCTCGGCCGCCTTAGCGCATGGGTCAGCTTCTGCGAGGCTCCGGGCTGCTTTAGCAATATCCCTCCATTTTTCTTCCCACTGACTCGCAAAACGCGCCTAACAGCGAGCAGCAAGCGTAATTGAATCTTATGTGCTGAGGGGGTAGTATAATTTACAGTCTACTTAAAGATTTCCCGTTGCTTTGTTTTGGATAGCGCGCGGGAAACGTATTAATAAACATTTTGGGATCTGTTTGGGCGAGTGGGAAAGGGCCTGCGCTCACCTCGGGGGCAGAGTTAGCGTGGCGCGCCAGTAGCCGCAGCGCAAATGAGGCGGGCAGAGAGAAGTGGTGAGCGGAAAGTTTGGTAAATTGTATCTGACATTGTTTTTGTGAAAAAGTAGTTTGGGTAGTGCACATGCCTGACCTCTTTCATGGTGGCGGAAAGTAAAACACTGCATACACTGTAAAAATGGAATCTCCACCACAAATTTTGTTTTCCTGATTCATAGGCAATTGTGTTGAGGATATATTAATTTGTTTCTGTGAACTTTGCAGAAGTGAAATAACTGAGAAGTCTGAGATGTCTGCAGACTATTTTTGTATCATGTTGTCACGTGCACCGTAGGTAAAGGACATGTAATACACTAAGAATCTAATTTTTATGTTCCACCATTGTTCCTCATCACAAACAGATCTGTCTTTGCTCCAACCACAAACGCATGACCCTGAGGCTTCTGAATGCACGTGTGTCTGAACAGCAACACACAGTTCACGAGCAACAGCAACTGTTTTCAGATATGACCAACTGTATTTTACCTTCTCAATTATTACTTTTAAAAAGTGGTGAAGACTAAATAACATATTTGTGTGCAGTATTTCTCAAGAACGGGTTCCTTGGACCCTGGTCTGAAATGCCAGTATTCAACACCACGTTCCAGCATTATTTAAGAGGAAATCGAAATCGAAGAACTGGTTCTGAAATGAGAAGCGGTACAAATAGGTGGAAAAGGGGTCGTCACGGCCCCCGACCAACTTTCATGTCTAAAAACATGAAAAGTTAATCTGTAACTCTAAAGAACAGAATACATTTTGTATTTGTCTGTTAAAACTATAACTTGGCACAGTTCTTATCAGATGTGATCAAACAGATTGGTTTGTTTGACGCTTGAATAGATTTTGAAAAGATACTTAAATGTTTAACTCGTGAAGTACATGTTTGAGGGTTCCATTTTGACTTTACTTAATGAGGGTTTGTTATGCAATTAGATTAAACATAATCATATCAAATGCATTTTTTAAGTAATGTGTTGTGCCTCCAATAAAATTATGATTTAATCTTCATTGTTTTGCAGTGTATTTCTGCAGAAGCTCAGTGTGGCTCTTATAGCAAATAAACAACCCCAGCTCCAACTGTCACAGCAAACATCTGCAGTGAGCGTGACGAGTGGGGTGTGAACGCTGAGGCCAACAACTCCAGAAAACAACTTTGTTTATTGAAACATCTGAAATAGAATGACTGTATGTTGGCCACATTGTGCTGGCTCTACTGTATGGACAGTAATACTGTACAAGTCTGTAAATTCAAGTCTAACTCAAGTTGTAAAGAATACAAATGTGTATGACCAGTCATCACAGAAATGAGCTTCTAAAGCTGGGGTACCTACACTGCAAATCTTCAAAAACAAAACAATAATGTTTTCAAATCCATGTAACTATTTATTTGCTCTCAAAACAGTTCAATCACTAGTTTAGTAGTCATCACTTTAGATCAGCTTTTACGAAGGAATATTGAAAAAGAGATGACCACCCTCACTGGATTAGGGTCAGCTCTCAGCCCAAAGTGTCAATTAGTGACTCACAGGGCTCTTTCTTATACACATGCAAAAGATAACGTTTTTAATACCTTGAAGATAGCTTGTTGTTCACTGTTACTTTTCAACATTCTTTCCGTTGGGACAAATAGCATGTTCCCCCAATCGTTAATGCTTTTACTGTACATTCATAGTTTTTTTTAATTGGCTTGTTTTAGGCTTTTTCAGTCATTTGTATTAGTTTCATTTGTGAATAACCTTGTGAGTAAACCTCAGTGCCTACTTAATTTATTCTGTTTATCAAACCCTTAATACTTCTGAAACCCTGCAGCCCAAGCGCCACAATGAGCTCAGACACACCACACATTTCTCCACAGCGCATTCGTCCCCTCACCTTGAAACTCCTAAACCTTGGGACGCTATTACGCGCCACCCTGAGAGAAAAGCCCTTTGTCCCGGCTGCGCTTGGAGTGCGCCCGGCCTCACCCTTAATGCGCACTGCGTTCACCTACCTTTTCGTCGTCCTCGTCCTCCTCTGCCGCGCTCGTGTGCACCTGCAAACAGAACAGAGCGCAGAGGTTACAGGACGTGCGCACTGGAGCGTTTTCAAACCGCCGCACCTTCGTAATGAAGTTTCCTTTGAGCGCCGTCACCCCTATTGGGAGGAGGCCCCGTACCCATGGCGACAGCATCACAGGGCTGACCCGACACACAAAAGCGCGGGGCGACACCGGGGCCCCTTCAAGCAAATCTCATTTCAGAAACACAGGGGAAGACGGCGCGCGTTGGATTGGGATGTCTCAGGATGGATGCGTCCCTGACCTGCCGCGGCGGTGGGGGTGCGGGCTGGTCAGGGGGTGTGCCAGGGATGAGGCTGGAGTCGTGGGCTGAGCGTTATCCGGGGACAGAAACATAATGGAGGGCCAGGGGATGCGCCAAAAACATGTGTGCGACAATTGCAACAGTTGGGATTGAGGATGTTGGAATGAATTTAGGTCGGGTTGTTTTATCTTTCATTGGAACAGACAAAACAGAGCTAACGGTAATGTGATTTTAAAGCTTAACCTTTGTACAAGGTTTTTGAGCGCTTCATATTCTTCCAGTATGAGAGCATTATCACAAAGACGTTTTGAACTTTCTGTGTAATGTCATGCTCCAGGAGTTCTGGGGCCATGGTGAAAGTCTCCCAGGGCCAGAGTGAGGGCATGATTGAATACAGTAAAAGAAAATGTTTTTAGTCAAATGATGTCTCACAAACATCGTAAATATTAATAATGCCTTTTCTATAGTTATATATAACGCTTTTTGGACACTCAAACATGTGTCCATATCATCATTCTTTACACAGTCATTATAAACTTCTACTGTAGCTTCAACTGCCCTGCGACACACTGATAGAAGCGAGACAGCCTGTGAGTGTCCTCAGCCCCTCTGGCTAACACCAACCATTCACACACACACCAGACTAATTCTAATGTGTGTAATGTGTCTTGTCTAAGGACACAACAAGAGTTTGGCACTTTACAGATGCAGACGCCTTATGCTTGTCAGGAATGAAGCAGACAGAGACGGATCGTGGTGCGCCAAACTCTGGAAGTTTATTTAAGTTTCTCTCAAGTTCCAGTGGTTTCCATTGTTTCGTTCTCTCAGACAGAATGGAGTCAGTACACAGTTTATATAGTCATTGTCACGTCACACATCGAAAGACATACGTGTCACAAAGAGACAGTCACATCATAGTCAAAATAATCAGAGTCCTTGTAGAGTTCTGCACGTAGGCCATATTGCTATCTAATACTAACATGCTGTTCCCAGAGGTCTCCCATCACAGTACTATCTGATCCCTACCCTGCTTAGCTTCAGAGTCATTATAATTACAGTCCCACATTTATTTCCAGAATATTCCAGCCTGTGACAGATGTAGCTCTTACTGACGCAAACCAGTGCCCTATTGTGACGATGGTCTTTGAGTTATGAGTTATGAGTATTAGGTCGACTGTATATATATGCTCACCCCACATCTCCACATGCTAGTGCCTGACCAAGGCCTGTGGCTGAAACATTGCTGCTCTTTAAATAAATGTAATGTTTTGATGAATGGGCAGTTAAACATGTTTAAAAGAGAGAAAAAAACAAATTCTACAGAAGTCTAAATGCAAATGGTGTTCCTACTAAGTAGCACCGTCGTTAGCACTCTCGTTTCTCACCCAAGAAGGTACTGGGTTCAAATCTGAGGTCGGAAAAGGGTCTTTCTGAGTGGAGTTTGCATATTCTCCCCATGTCCTGTGCAAGGTTCCTCCAGTAGCTCCAGTTTCCCCTGCCACTAAAAACGTGTACAATAGATAAAATCAACACCTCCTCAACAGGCCGTGCGGTACTATGGAAATAACAAAAGTGGACCTTGACCTAAGCAGGTATTCCATAAAATAGAATCACCCATTTCAGTATCATAACTCGACTTATATCTGCTCATACACAAACATCATGCTTTTCGAACTATCAGACAGTTTTGGCACAAACACTCGCCCCGCTGCTTCTGTCTAAATGCTCTGTTTTCAAAGTTATTCTCTATGATGTTTATGACAGAGCTGTTTACTGCTTTTTAAAACAGTTTTTGGGAAATGTCTCTAAATTATTGTGTGCCATGTTTGCACCAGACTTTATTTGTCAGTTTGACTTCATGTTTTACATGCAGTCTGTGTATTGCTCATCACCCGTTGTCCCTCTGTCTGTGCCATGAATGCACTGATAAGATTGTTATTGTGGGCGATACCAATAAAATGTATTTGATTTGGGATGTTTACCATAAAAGAAGAATGCAGATTCCAACATCTAAAGTAAAAAAGACCTGATTTATCCCCAAAACTCCAGCTAAACAAATGAAACGGTCAACTACAACAAGGCCTTGTAATTACACTGACATTTACATAATGTTACTTTGGAGAAGTGAAGTTTGACACATTGGGGACAAACCTCCTCGATGTGAAGCCAGGACGCCCCGTGTAATCTAACGGCACATCTAATGCCTGCAGTGGAGTTGTTTGACTAATAAGGTCTTGATTTGACATTTCACGTGTTCTTTTGATGCTGTAAATTGGGGGAGGAGTGCTGTTTTCCACTGGCGCTAGTTCCTGATGTTTTAATAGGTCTCTAGAGACTGGAGAAAGCAGTCTAATCAGTGCTGGGGAAACATGAGCGCGGGCTACGTCCCAAATCAGACGGATCCCTCCTTCCTCTGCCTCCGCCTTAGAGCTGCGTCATGAGGTAAGGTGAGCAATAAGGAGGAATGCGGCGCAGTGAGGTTCCACATGACAGTAATCATCTCTAACACCATGGATCATGAATTAGTGCATCTGAAATCTCAATGTTGATAAACAATTCATTAAATAGCTTCTATTAATAACATTCTGCAAGATAACTGTTATTGAGATTTTAATTGTTACATTATTGTTTCCCATTTTTCAAGAGGAAAAACATAGATAAAATGAAAAATAAAATTTGAAACAAGTTTATTTCTTTTAAATAATGAGTTAATTATTGTAGCTTTTAGCAATACATGACCTTTAACCTTAGATGACAAAGTAAATAGTCTAATTATCATTTTTAATGCCCTAAATATTTCATATTGTTCATTATTTAATGAGCTGTAGTTACACTGCCGGTGAAAAGATGGGCACATCAGAGACCCTTCAGAATCCGCTCAGACACAAATCTTGAGTGCACAACTCAAGTGAGCACCCAGTGGATTTGTTTTGTCTTTGACCAAAAATGCCTGCAAAAGGAAGCATAGACACTGATCCGACAGATTGTTGTTTTGCATTCACTCGTAGATCTGTTGGATGCAGTGAACGAGTGAGTCGACTGGTCCATGTTCTCTTGCAGTTAGTGAGACATAGATATGCGTGTCGTCTGCTCGAACCTGTGGTACTCAACAGGTTAGGGCCATATTATCTGGGACACAGTTTCCAATCTAAACTACTTCTTAAGTACTTCCTGTCTTCTAGATAAAACTTAAACCAACTTAGGAAGGTGGTAGCAACACACACCCAGTCCTCTCGTCTCTGTGCGAGGATCTCATGGTCGACGGTGTCAAAAGCAAACAAGATAAAGAGACTTTGCTTATGTCTGTGGTCAGCCAGAAAACATTTGTTACCTAGACAAATGCATTCTCAGCCATGTTTGTTATGTGTCCATGTTTGCTCGTGTGTCAGGTTTCTCACCAAGTCCTGGTTGGCAGTGACTTTCCCCGTGCCCAGCTGAAAGTAGTTCCACCCGATGAGGACGAATAGGAAGAGGGGCAGCATGAAGAGCTCCCAGTACCACACAGTCACTAAGAAGATCTGAAGAGGACAGAACATGTCAGTAAGAACCACATACACACACACACACACACACACACACACACACACGCACACAGACACACTCGCACAAACATACACACACATCACCTGCCCTCCAACACAATGGCTATAGGCTCATTGGAATGCTGTGATGTCGCAAACTATTGTGACATTTTTACGTTTAGTTAAGTATGTTTTACATTTAATTTGGTAAATCAAGTCCTGGTAGCCATTACCCTCACAGTCTTTACTTTAATAACGTCCTTTAGTGGGCAGAGACGTGATTACATGTAGAACACAACAGTGATTGGAGGGTTGTGCCTACAGGAAGTGACCGGGTGGTTACACTGTACTCAAAATGGTAAAAAAAAAAAAAATCATTGAATGTTAAAACCCCCATCCACTAAGTCGCTTCTCATAACCAGTAACCATGAGGGGAAAACCATCTCTTATCATTCATAACCTGTGAAAACTTGTGTAACTTCATCCATTTCCAACATAACCTTATCAGTGTCTGGGTGAGTCGCGTGCCAAGGGTGCTGTCTGGGTCGTAAACGCTGAACAATAAGCAGGTGTTACGTGTTAACAACTCAAACTCGGGGCAGTAATCCCGCAGCTCCACTTCCATTGTCCCTTCAGCACACATTTCCGCAGGACCGCATCATTCCCAGAACACGGCAGGACGCGCAATGTCTAGGAAGCGCCTGGGAAGTGTATCATGGAGCAGACAATGCGCTGGTGTGAAGGCCGCGGGCAGGTGCGGGCTAAGGAGCAGACCTATTGTGTCACAGCCGTACACGGAGCTGAGGCTGAATGACTCCCCCGGGTCACCGTACCTACCACCGTGGCCAGACGGAGCCCAAGGGGAATCGTGTGAACCACGAGTAATGTGGACACTGTACTGAGGTGACGTGTGAGCGCACACGCGCACGGGAGAGAGGCAAAGAGGTGGGCTGAAGAGATATACAGAAGAAATATTATTTGTGTTCACTTAGCCATGAAACATGATCTTGAGATCATTTACATTTACTTTCTTAAAACTTTTATACAGAAAGAGGCTCGGTAAGAGTACCTGACGGGGCTCCTGGGAGTCATACAGTACAGTACAAAATATACAAATAATACACTGTTCAAAGCATTTACAATTCTAAAACCAAATTATTAAAGTGGCTTCAGAGTTTATACTTATCCAACAGTTTGAAACAATATATTTATTGAGATGTAAAATGTGTTCTTATAACATTTTCTACAAAAATGTCACATATTCAATCAATAAGTACCATATAAATAAATGAAATTTAATGTTGCTCTGTTGGCCGACAAAGACCCAAGGGCCAAAAGATCAGGGGCAATTAATGAGCAGTTTGCAAATAATTCAGTAGTAAATTCTTTGCAAGTAGAAAATGAAGTAAAATAAGCTGTTTCTTTTAAAGATTTAAAAAGTTTTTCATTAAAGTAGTTTTTGAACTATATTTTCTCTTGTTGACAACAGAAGCATTATTTTCTCATTCCAAATTAGACATATCTTTCATCATTTATATGAACTGTCAAAATGTGCAGCACAACTCAGACCTGACAGGAAAAAAACGACTTGATGAAATCACTTGATGGTCAGAAATACTGCAGTTAGATATTTTTCCCAAGCCCTTCTACGATATTAAACTGGCTAGACGTTTTCTTACATACATAATACTACTGTAGTTTGATCCATAAAAAGTAAAAATAAATAAACTTGACAAAAGAAAATTCAAGTTGTTTAGAATCATGGAGAAACACATTTGTTTCACAGAGTTTCATAATCGCATGCCGAGAACACCTATGGGCCTGACTATACAAACAATGAATATGCATGAGCGTACCTCTGCACCCTCGCCGCGATGATTTGCCTACGTCACTGCCTGTCAGCGCGCTCCCCCGGGACCCCGACTCACCCCGGAGGAGTCCCGGCTCAGCGCTCGACAGGTACCTTGTCATTTCCACGCCGCTATCCTTCCCGAAAGAGGAGGGAAGAGGCGACCCACAGAAAGAAAGCTGACATCGTCCCAGCAGGAGAGATGCACCTCCTGACCCGCTCGGCAAACGCTTTCCGCATTAACCGCTAAACTCTAATTGCCTCCCCCGCCGCCATCTCGCGAGTCAACAACGCGGGGAGGCTATTCTTCTGCTCGCGGGGGTCCGCCATCGGAGAGGATCTGTCACAGGTATTCATAATCGGCTGTTAATGCAAATGCAGGATGGTTCTGGCTCAGTGGACGAGATAAAAGCAGTGGAGAGTCTAAATGAGGCTGTAAACCAAAACTGTCAGAGTTGTCCCTCATAAAGGCCGGGACAGTGGTTGGTGAAGGACTGGGACTCAAGTGGGTAAGAGTTCTACTTAAAATAAGTCAGTAGACACATAAAGATTACTTACTTACTGAGACAAGGCCAGCAGATGCATTTGAAAGCATATAAGCCTATCACTCATTGTGATCATTATGATGAAGTACACCGGCTCTCTGCACATTCATCCATTTTCTTCTGCTTTATCCATTGTCGGGTCGCGGGGGGCTACCGTCAAAGCAAAGACTGCCTGGCTTACCTATACCCACACACTTCCTCCAGCTCATCTGGGGGAATCTCTGGAAGTGTCCACAAGCTTTCCCCAGAACAACTCCCAAGTCAGGCAGCCAGGAGGCAGATTCCAGAGCCACTTCAACTGCTCCCTCTCGACTTGTTTCATTGTTTTGATTTGGTTTTGTGACATGGGGAAAATTGTGTCCAGGAGTATATTGAAAAAATCTAAATTAAATGGTCAAAGGAAACATTTTCCAAAAGTGTGCTTATACCGTATGTACTGTAAGATATGTGGAATATGCAGAATATGTGGAAACGGTAAGGAATGCGCTGGAAAATGGCTGCAAGTCCTAAGTAGCTCTGAAAGAGTTGTTGTTTTGTGCTTTACAATTGTTATTTTTCTTGCTTTATTTCTGCCTCAGATGTTGCTGCAGTACAGTGTTCATGGTTTTACACTGGTCCAGACCAGACCAGAGCAGAGAGGATTCATGGTCCAAACCAAGCGGATATGGTGAAAACTTGAATTTCTCCGATGGGGATCAATAAAGTATCTATCTATCTAAGATTAACATTTGCTGTTCCAAAGTTTCCAAAGTGCTAAGGCAAAGTCAGTTATTTTAGCGCACTCCGTATCCTTGTGTTCCCTTCAGACGTCTACAAACTGCTTCACATTTCAATTTTAAAAAAACGAGCACCCAAGGATTAAGTTTGTAGCTTAGCATAAGAAAACCCCACAATGAGTATAATCTCCATTACATTTAGAGCATTTTTTTGAGGACATGTCGCTAATGCCTCCCATGACAAACCCCATTTAGCTGAAAAATGTCCGTCTGATTATGCAGAGCAGTGGGGGGCCAGGAGAGGTGGGGCGAAATATGAATCACGTCCACCTAAGTCATGATGGAGATGTAGTCTTCAGAGCACCTGTGTGCGACCTGCGGGCAACGCTCCTCTGCCAGCGGGGTTAAAGAACGGCCCTGACAGCTTTTGTTTTATGACGCCATTAATACGCTCGGGCTAAATGCATCTTCCCCTGGCCGTCGCGGCCCTACACCTCATAATAAAGCACTCAGCGATTAGAGCCTGAGAAACAAGTTAAAGCTGAGCAAGCAGAGGCGGCGAACCCAGCCGTGCTCTCTTGGGACCGCCCCAGACAAATGGGGCCCAGGGACAGACGCTGAACGTGAGACTTAGACTTAGGAAGTAGTTAGAAATAAGATGGACTTACAGAAGGCAGATAGTGCTGTAGTCTATTCAGTAGCTATAATGTTGCTGTTTGCCCCAACAGAAAGTTTTATGTCTTCATCTTGATAGAAACCCTTTGAATAATAAAGAGCCCTTTGAGTCACTTTTGGACGCTTTGGGCTGAGGGACGGTCAGGCTGGTCCTCTTCTTTTCACTTTTGACCCAGATATATCAACCATAATGTTAAATTTGAGATATCTTTGCCAATATTGTATGTGTGAACATTTATGACATAAATATATGTATTGATTGCTGTATAGTCGTACAGTCGTTATACACTGCTATTTCTGTGGATGTCTCTGACAGAGGAAATCAGCCCCTTATATTTGCACAACTGTATATTCTACTTACGGTTATTGTTAGTATTAGTATTAATTTATTTGTTTATATTTATTTTATTTTTTGATCAATTACTCATTCTGTTTAGATTTTGTTTTCACCTCTCTGTCTATTCATGCATGTAAAAACTGATAGTTAGTGGAACTTGTTGGTGACATGGATTTTGTTACATGTAGGGACTCATCTCCATGTTGATTATCTCGGTCAGGACCTTCACAGGAGGATTTTTCCAATGGTGCATGGTGCTGGGGAAGCGGAGCACACAGAGGAAACTCATGCAAACTCCAAACAGAAAGGTCTAGGTCGACACAGGATCAAACCCCTGACCTTCGCACTGTTAGAAAAGTGCTATGTTGCAAAATAGATCCCCATCAAAAACAGGCTTAGAGTTGTTTTATGCTCCATCCACACTAACATTAAACCGTGGGTAACTTGTCCCCCCAACCCTTCTGTCTTATATCTTTTGTCAAACTCTCCGTAACAAATCCTCAGACAATGATGTAATGGAAATAACTGTTTTCTGCCTGTTGAAATACAAACTTGCAAATTTGTGTTTTAACAGGCATGGTATGGTGTCTTTTACTTTTTAGCCATGTATCAATTTTTAACTTTTTGCCTCAGTGCCACAGTTTTCTCCTCTTTACAAAATTACAAATAATATAGAACGGTGAACTTTCATGTGGATGGAAAATATATGGACTATTCTCATCATTTATGGACATTGGTCATCTGCCCCTTATGAACCTATGGCTCTATGTGTTTTTATTATTGCATTTCTTGAGTTGAACGGTTAATTCTCTGACCTGTTTTTGCCACTGTTGTGATTTAGGGCTTTAAAGAAAAAATTTAAGTGAATTGAATTG